CTTGAATAAGTTCTGCTGGAATTTTATCACTACCTGGCGATTTATACCGTTTCAATTTTGCAATAGCACTTTCAACCTCAAAAGGGCTAGGATCAGGTACTAATGGCTCAGCTGTATCGATTTCTGTCTGCCTAACAGTACTAACCCTATGTACATTCGATAAGTGAGAGAAGTAGTTCAAAGAAGTATTCAAAATGTTGCGGGAATCTGCAAGCAGATAACCATTCTCATCCTTCACTAAGTTACTGCTAGGCCAGTAACCCCCCTTTAAGTCATTTATTCCTCTATACAGGTCTCTAATGTTCTTGTTCTTACTGTTCATTGCAAGCTCATCAATTTTGTCTTTCAGATATTCCCTCTTTTTGTTCCTGAAATGCCTGCTGGTTTCACGTCTTATATTGTTCAGATTATCCCCATTTAACTTGCTTGGATCCTGTAACCATTGCAATTTGGCCTGCTTTCTTTGATCTAATAATTCTGACCATCCTTCATCGAACCATGGCTTATGCTTATTTAGTTCATAATAACCTAGACTCTCTTTGGCAGACATTTTTATATTCTCTCTTAATAGTTTCCAAAGCTTTATTAACATCCACCTCAGTTTCCTAGTTTTCCAAAGCCGTGAACCTATTTGATATTTTGACACAATACTGCTCTTTACCCTCTACCTCATTTAATTTCTTGAGATTGAACCTCTCCATATGAACTCTGTGTGTTGTTTGTTAGCTCACTGCCAGTCTTTCCCTAACCTTTGCCACCATCAGGTAGTGGTCAGTATCAAAATCTGCTGACCTGAATGATCGGACATCAAGTATACTTGAGTGCCATCTCCTGTCTATCAAAATATGGTCTATTTGATTGTGTATCTTCCCATCAGGAGATGTCCAAGTAAATTTATGGATGTTATGATGTGGGAACATTGTACTTTTGACAGTAAGATTTTTTGATGTGTCGCCATTATCATTATTAATTTCATGAAAACTCTCATTCCCAATTGCTGGTTTGAAAATATCTTCCCTCCCTATTTTGGCATTGAAATCTCCTAACAAAATTTTCATAGGGTACTTCGGGAATTTATCAAATACATGTTCTAGTTCTTCATAGAATCTATCCTTTATGTCATCAATGATTGCCTTGCACTATTAAATAAAAATAAAAATTCTATAAACATATTTAAAAACAAAATTTAAGTAATGGTAATAATTATAGGTGTAACTGCCACGTTTTGGAATGTTTGCCTCACACTAACTAGCTAACTAATAAACAAACTTACACAGCTGAGTCCATTTTGAGAAGCTGTCAGTTGCTCAGCTACTCAAGAATTTCCACATCTTTTATGGATCCCATAGATTCATCACTACGTTCACAAGAGCCCACCAATGGTCCCTATCCAGAGCCAGATGAACCCAATGTATACAACTCCAATTTATTTCTGTAAGATCCATCTTAGTGCATCCATCTCAGCTACATTCTAGGTCTTCCTAGTGGTTTCTTTTCTTCTGGCTTTCCTACCAAAATCCTACATTCAATCCTCTTTGCCCCATGTGTGCTACATACCCCACCAATTTAATCTTATGCCCTACACTGTGGAATCAAAAATAAAAATTCTACTGGAAATTTATAATTAATGTTAACTCCGTTTCATGCAGCAAAGAAACCATTAAAAAGGCCCTGTTAAGCAAAGCACTATGCCCCATTTGAAGTTTGGGACTGCCAGAGGGATAATTTAAAAAAAAAAGGATGCACAACAGATCACAGATAGCCACAGTGTAAGAGTTGTTAAACGTTCACATATTTAATCTACTCTAACCCACATGTATAAATCATACATTTCCTGGATGAATAAATAAAAATTGCAAATAAAAGAAATGAAAGGTGGGAGTGAGCGAGAGAGAGGGGGGGATGGGAAGGAGAGAAAAGAGAAAAAACTACAGTGTCATAAAGACTG